ACCCTACACGAAGCTTGTGGAGTGTAGAGTGTGCCAAAAACAGGACCGTGACGCGCTCGCCCGCGAAGCTAGTTACTCTGAACCCTGTGTATATCGTGCGACGTGTTTGCTGCTGGTCCTAAGTGTTAGTGTGAGGATTGTTGATAACTTACTTTATCATCTATCAGTTGTTGGTGAGCGTGCTGGCTCCTTTTGCCCACCCTCTGCCACCCGGTAGTTTCTGGTTGTCTGCATCTTGACGTGCGATCCTCAACTGTGTGAGGATGGCCGTCCGATGGCCACAGATGAAGTCGGCAGGGCGGGACGAGTTGAGTTAACGAGTTTTGGGTGGGAAGCTGCGATCGGGCCTGTATTTGCAGTATCGATCGACAGTAACTAAATACCCTACAACTGGCTAGTGCCACTACCGTATCACTAAGTTAGCTGGTATACTACAAGAGCTGGAGTCGAGTTGGCTTATCTACTTACAGCAGTGAGATATCGATGTTGGTACACGATGTAGGTTTAGGAATGCGTTGCAAAAGAGTAGAATTGGAGTGTTGAGAGGCGTTTAGACTTGATAAATCGGAAGCAACGCAATTTGTGGAAGATATTTGAAAATGTGAGATTTTGACGCACGATTATAGCCGAGTAGCATAAAAGTATTAATAGATAAAAATCCACCTAGCTTAGAAGTATTTAATATTGCAGTTTCACCCACTTAACGTGAAGTGGTGTAGAACTTCATGTAAGCCATAGAACGTATATGTTTCCGCAGCCGATAATACATTTGCTCTCCACGAATTGTGAAATATCTTTTTCATTAGTGTTTCTCATATCACCAGGTGATATCTAAAATGTCACACTCATTATTACTAGTAGTAGATATTACGTTAATCAGCTGCTTTGTAAATAGATAATCTATCTAGCATAGATACATCCTTAGTAATAATACTAGTATATATTACCACAACATTAGAGTACCATTAATACACGATATTAGTATTCCTCATTTTAAGTTGCCTTTATCACTCAAGATGGCATTCTCTACCGAGGTGGCGAATCTATCAGCCTGGTATCTCCCGGACGATGATAGTAAATCACTGCATACTACTGCTCTTTAGTGCTCATACACAGGTATCGTGAAACTGAACCCCGCCCTTCCCCACAAAACTGATAGGAATGTATCTTTGAAAGAGTTGGCTGCTTTGGGAGTGATAACTCATACGACTGTTGTTGTTGATTATCATCATAACACTGAGGTACTCGCTGCTGCGGTTGCCAATCCCGAGCTATGGAAGGAAGACTCTAATTTGCAGCAAATCAGAGAGGACAGGAAGTGAGTGATGGTGGAGATATCTATCCAGAAACCTATAGTGTTCCCGGGGGGAACTCATTCTCAATTTTCTATACGGCTAGGAACATATTCTTCAATTAATTCCCCATGTAAACGTTCCTCTTTGTTATTGTGGTAGATCTAGACTCTCCATTATTCATCTCAACATCGAGCCTTGAAGATTGAGACATATTATCATTAATAATAATACGAGTGGGAGTTAATAGGCTGAAATAATATCATCACATACAATACATTGAACACCTTATCATCATTGTATCATTATATTAGCATAGCATAGTAGCTAGCCTAGACTTTAGCACAGCTTGGAGGATATTGTGCAATAGAGACGATTGTGGAGGGTCATGAGTAGAGGAGAACAAGGTCCTAGTCATTAGTAACCCACTCGTCACATTGTCAAACCCCAGGAAACGTTGTTATCTCCCAATGCTGGATAAGTATGTAAATCGTCCATCACAGATATGGGGCGTTCGATCGAGTTGATTGCTCTAATCTGTCTGAGGAAACTAAAGTGAAGTTCTTCACTGAACATCTCCACGTAGATGAGAAATAGACTCATCATCACGGCGTCGGTAGTAGTAGTAACAGGAGTTAT